CTTTAAAGTTGTTCAAATGAAGTTCTTAGCAATGCATATTACTAATCAAACATTAAGTTTTGATATATTTACAGTAGGACATTTACAAAATATCTTCATGGAACATGATCTTTACTTAATATCCTAATGATTTTTAGCATAAAAGAAAAATGGATAATTTTGACAAATACAATGTATTGTTGGCTATTGCTACAAATATACCCCAGCGACTTAACACTGCTTTTGTGCTGCAGCGTCACATTTGTGTGTATGTGTGTGTGTGTGTTGATCAGGAGGAGCTGGCGTTTGTGTTCGAGATGCTGCAGCAGTTTGAAGACGCTCTGGTCCAGTATGATGAACTAGACGCTCTTTTCACGCAGTATGTGCTCAACTTTGGCGCTGGAGGTAAACCGTCATCTGTGCATTAATGTCTTGTGCTACACAGCTTCACTTAATATATAAAAAAAGATATATTTTATATTCATATATACAAAAGGCGATATGAAAAACGTACTGTAATCTGAGAATATTCAGTGTGGGCTTTATAGTGGTTGTGCTTCAGGAATAATTAGATTATGTTGAGATATTATATTGTTGGTGAGTGTTATTTTTCCACCGTCCATACAGCCTCGATTACATCAGTAGAAAGATTCTTAAATCACAATGTGTTTTTTATTTTAATATATTTTATATTTTTTGTATTTTATAAAGTATGTTCATTAAAAATTTTATATAAGTAAAATTATAAAATATAATAAATACTTTTTTTTTATAAACACGGTATACGGTATTATCACTATATTGAAATTTAGTTGCAAAAAAGTGCTGTCATAATACAGCGTAACAGGTTTAATAACTTTTTTCCTTCTAACAAAAATAACTGAACATTTAAATACAATAAAGCAATACACAAAAAAATGTATAAAGTTAAACATTTTATACAGATTAAAGTGCAAAAGAATTATAAAGGCAGATAGATATCACTTTACAATAAGATCTCATTAGTTAACCTTAGTTAATGCATTAACATTCACAATACCTACATTTGCTACAGAAGTTATTAATCTTTGTTAAAAAAGAAATACAACTCTTCGTTCATGTTAGCTCATTAAATAACACAGTTACAACTTTGGATTTTAACAACCTGTTATTAAATATTGGAATTACCTAAGATTAACGAATGTTTAGAAGAATTATTCATTGGCAGTTTATGTTAACTAATGAATTAACTAATGTTAACTAATGAAGCCCTAATGTAAAGTGTGACCGAACAATAAAGAATCAAAACAATTTCATCAAACAATATCTAGGCCATAATGTAGTCCAGATTAAAATGTAAAAAAGTATGAAAATAAATAGCCTATTAATGAACACCATAGTGATGAATACACGAATCTGAATGGCTGTTTAAAGCATTTAAACAGGTTTCAGAAACAGAAAGTAGCGCAGCTGTTTTGTTTCCGGGGTAACGGCTGCATTTCTGCTGTTCAGCGCCACCTGCTGTCAGAGAGTGAGAGTGCTTTCATTCAGAGCGTCTCTCACGCGCTCCGCCTTTATGTTAAAATGAAATAAAACCACTTCTCATAAAGAACATGGTCTTCTTTTTAATGAAATACCAATGGTTATATAGGCTAATTATGCATTCTTTATAGCAACTTGTTTACCATATTCTTCATTCTTTCAAGCAGACATATTTATTTCTATAAATACATTTAGATTAATCTTTAGGGCTACTAAAGTTTTTCAGTCAAGAGCAGTGCGTGATTTTCTGTGTTTCTTTTGTTGCTTGATTAACATCAATGACTCAATAGCAACTAAATTAGGCTGCTGTCCCTTTAAAACCGAATGCACAGCTGCAATGGATGCAATGTACTGATACACGTTCTCCCTGCTGTTTACGTTCACTTAAGACGTAATCAACTGTGTTTACGTGAATACTCGTCAATACGGACAATTTGACATCATTTTGTGTGTAATTCCCCGTTCATGCGACACAAAGAGTACTCGCGCGCTGTGAGAGAGGCGCTTTCTGTGTGTGTGTGTATGCTTCAGTGTCTGCGCTCAGAAAACCGGACCGAACTGAGTTCTCTCTTGCGTCGTCAGATTTATCCATATGTCTGCTCTTCTCTTACTCCCACATATTGACATTTTTGAACGTTTTATGAGACGTGCAGCAAGAGTTTTTTAGCTTATGTCCCGCCGATTCATATGTACGCATCTAACCTCCTA